TGGCAGTGACTGTGTATGTTGCTTCATCATTATTGGCAATCCAGTGCACACTAATTACAGAGAGTGTTTCCTTTGAAACGCTTATTATTTCTGGGCTGCATGGAGCTGAAAAGATTTGAGATGGAACAAATTTAAACTACATTAAATGGCTGTAATGTTGTGTTAGAACCATTGCAAATTGCATTTGTTGTGGCATTCTCTCTGTTTAAGATCTGCTCCATGACAGAGAATCCCACAGCTCAAACATCTTCTGGAAAGACTGCATGAATCCACCTGCTTTCTTTTTTTCTTTTTTCTTTACAAATACACTAATCAAATGTATGTATCACAGTCTGCTCCAATGATCCTGAAAGGTCCATAAGCAACATATGATAGGCTACTAAGGGTCTGTTTGTAGCAATGTTCTATGAGTGTACACAGGGGTCGTTTCATAGAAAAAGAGCTAGGGGAACTCATTAGCATAACTCATTAGCATATGCCACACACCCTGACATCACTGGAAGTGTGTCATAAGGCCACACCCCCTGACATCACCGGAAGTGTGCCATAACACCACACACTCTGCCCCCAACGGTCCCGGCGGGAGTGCAAGGAAGCCCCGCGAAGGCACTCCCTGGCCCCAGGCAGGCAGGCGTGGGGAGAGGCAGGGAGGAAGCAACTTACCATCCCTCTTCTCCTGCCTCCTCCTGGCTGAATGAGGGCCGGAAGCGGGGCGGCCGGAAGCAGGGGGCGGGGCTTCATCGTGTGTTACCTCACCCGGGGGAACTGTGCTACCTCACCCGGGGGAACTGTGATCCCCCGCGATCCCCCCCGAAATGACCTCTGAGTGTACATAAGCAGGATTGCTTTTCTGTCTGAAGTTCTAAAAAGGAGCTGCTGGCGGAACAGTGCTTGACAGATGTTGATGCACCGACAGTGGCTAGCTTTGCAGAATGGTGCAGTGCAACAGTTTGTAGCGTTATGCTAGTATATACAGGCTTTCCAGAGAGTCAAGTGTTAGATCAGGAAGCTCTTCAATTCAGCAGCCTGCTATTCAATACCAGAGCTTGTGTACAAAGGAGGATTTCATGGATGGTAGGTGATTTTCTCCATCACCACCCTCATGCAGTTCCAGGGTGGATTCTTGGTTCCCCAGAAGCAGTATTTTGGGGGCAGAGGAAAGAGGGAGGTGAGGAAGTCACATTCTGCAGATGAAAATACCTTCATCCATGAAAATTACCAGTGTACCAATGCAGCCCATCTGAAATGTGGTTGCTTATTTATTATTTCTATGCCGTTTTTTTCCCTAATGAACTCAAAGAGGCTTATTATTTATTTATTTATTTAATTTCTACCCCCACCCTCCCTACCGAAGCAGGCTCAGGGCAGCTTATATAGGGTAATAAACAATAAGATAAAATTATCTAAAATCACAACAACTACACATAAAACATATAAAGTGCTAGTGCTAGAATAATTCATATATGATGGTGGGCATGAGCAGCATCTGACAATACAACACTCAACTGCTAGCGTAATCTGGGTTATATCTGGCTGTTTAAATGATGTTATAATGATATTGATGATGATGTTTATATTGGGGCCAGGGCCTCAATTATATAGTGCAGCTCCTTAGTCAAAGGCCTGGGGGGAGAGCTCCGTCTTGCAGTTCTGGGAGCTCTTCCACCAGTGCGGAGCCACCACTGAGAAGGCCCTGGCCCTCATCACAGACAGCCTGGCTTCTCTGGGGCCCGGCAGAGCCAGATGATTTTGGGACCCCGATCGAAGAGCTCTCTGGGGAACATGTGGGGAAAGGTATGAAGGACCA